GTTTGTTCCATCACCATGAAACTCCTTGCACAGCTCCCAGGGCAAGACATGGCACATAGGGAGGTGACAGTGGATTTCTACAGCACAGCTCAATCTTCAGCTTTTCAGTGGAAGTGCTTTTATTCCTAAAATAGCCATTTGTTCCAATTAACATCCTTCTGGTAGCAGAAAGGGAGCATTGAGTAGAGTATGGTGCTACAGAGCCCAGAGAAGGGAACATTATCTTACAGAGCTCTGGGGGGTTGTCTTCCAGATCGCCCAAAATTCTTTCCAAGTAACGTGTTAAAATATTGGTAATGCAGTGACTCAACCATATAAACAGATGGAGTGAGTAGCGTGCAGCCAGTGATTCAGCTAATGTACAGCTCTGGAAAATTCAAATTTGATTTAACACGAGGAGAATTATTGAATAAGACATTTCTAATTTTTCCTTTTGTTTCAGGAGGCTTTAAGTAGGTTGTTTTTTCTACTGAACAGAGTAGAAAAACATAAGCCCATAACAGCTGATTCAAGGGATGGCATCCCTGGTCCCTGCACAGAAACTCCTTGCAGCAGTGCTGCACTGCAGTGCCAGCTCTTGGTCTGAGCCCAAGTCCTGCTGTGGGACACGAGCTCCTAATTTCTCCAGAGGGAGTGTTCCCAGCCGAGTTACACAGATCTCTATGATCTAGTTCAAGCAAGAGCATTTATTTAGACTGAGTTAACTCATTAATTTCGGCTTTAAGATCTTAAAAGCTGTCTCCACCATAAAGTAAATCCCACGTTTTCTCCAGGCTCCTCCCGTACCACGTAAAGTTGTGGCTGCAGATGTGAATGTGCTGTGCCTGCAAACAGGGCACACCATGCTGCTCTTGGGAACGCTCTCCAAACAGCCAGAGGACATCTAAGCTCCTGCCATGTCTTACTACATCCTTTTATTCTCTTGGAATGACGAAAGGAGAAACTGGTTTTCTGCAGAGGCCTCCCGTTGTCAGGAGATCAACACTTAAAAACTCACCTGATTTTTATGGAAATCTGGGGGAAACCCTGTTCTCTTTAGATTATTCCAGTCTTATCGCTGCAATTACAGGCTTTATTCCACAAGTTATGAGTACAGATTACTGCCACCTGCATGGAAGCCCATCCTTCACCTTTATGTAAATGTTGCCTTTGAAAGCTTAATTATGAAAGAGTTGCCAGTACACAGTCGAGAGGCACGAGAAGTGATCTGAACAGGTTAAATGCAGGTGAATGTTATGTTTTGCACACAGTTGTAATATTCATAACTTGGTAATTGCTGAAGGATGTCAGAGTGAGCTTAATTCCTCTAGCAGTTGTATGTGGGATAGAGTTTTGCCCCCCCCTTCCCCAATACACTTACACAATCCTACTGTGCCTAAATAGATACTGAAAGTGTATTTAAGAGATCTGGGAAGGTGCTTTTCTCATTTGATGAGGCAGGACCTCAATAGCTCAGTGTGTGCAATTATTTGTGCCAGCTGTGAGGAGTGCTCTTATATAGTGGGTAATGTTCTGAGCAGTCAGGTAAGGTCCTGACCCCACAAACCTATCTGGGCATGCTTGAAATAATGAGCTATACTTAATAATTCCATTTAATATGTACAATGTGAAGAAGGTAACAGAAGGTAGAGAACCTGAGTGTGATTTGCTCGAATATTGTCAAACCCCATTTTTATGTACTTGTAATTTGCTATTACAAAGTATTAAAGTTACATTTAATTCACCCTGGAACTTTGCTTTTTTAGAAAGAAAAGCAGCCCTCTCACCACTGCACTGAAGTGAGTGCACCCATACCAATGGGAGCTCTGAGCACAAAACCTCATCAGCTGTGTAATAATCCTTGTAAGATTTGTAACATGGAGAATTCCCTCAGGAGTTCTGTCTTTCATCTCATGGATTGGATCCTTGTTCTTTTGCAGAACTGACAAGGGACAACACTGTTTGTTTGGACAATCAGAAACATTAAGGAAAGGCACCTGTACTTTCTCTTTCTGTTTCATTTTGTTGGGATTTTTTGTTGTTTGCTTTTGGATCATTCATCTCAGTTACTTCTTCATTCTTTCTCCCCTGTTGCTCCTGCTTTCCAAGTTATCAGCTTCTCTCAAGGGTCCTGTAATTTTTAGAGCTTTTCTTAAATCTTCATCTCCTGGAGCCATTTCAGATGTGATATTTTAAAAATTAAGTTTAACCTTTAAAAACTAAGCCTGCAGAAGCTGTATCAGAGGTGACTGAAGACAAACTGAGTAGCAGGGACCTCTTGACAGTGAGTGGGATCAGACCTTTCGGTGAGCTGAAAGTCACAAGTTTGATCAGGAATGATTTTTAGGTTATTTTCTTGTGGGAATGAGGTTTATATGATCATGTCATGTAGGCAGAGGTATATCTGAGGATGTATCCATGTTATTTAATAATGTTTGAATCTACTGGCTTACTCCAGACAGGATTAAATCTGACAGAATAATTTAGTTCCTGTGACTTTCATGAAGATAAGTTGTGGAGCAGGGAGGATGTATCATGTTCTCCCCTAATCATGGAAAATCTGCAGCGGGAACTTTTGGGCAACGGCATGCACTGGCTAAAGAGAAATCTTAAATAAATCACAACTTTGGAAGAGATTTCAGTTAAAACTTGCACCTTACACTCTGAAGTTTAACAAACCATGAGGCACAGATGTGTAGGGAACCAGGCTTCCTTCATTCTGATAATGAACTTTAATTTTTTGAGGGAGTTAAATATCTACTGAAATCACAAAAAGAGTAAGAGGCTGAGGAGAGTAATGGATGGAGTAACTTTAACTACAAAGGCGACCAAAATATGGGATTACTGGGGTGAGGGAGAAACAGCAGATGAGGAATTTCTACACCTGTTGTGTGTGAGGGGGGAGCTCAGGAATAGAAAGTGGCAGCCAGGAAGGGAAGGAAAAGCAAAGGGAAGCAGGAGAAAAGAAAATTCAGGTTGAGAAAGGCATCAAGAAAGGCTTTGAAGATCACTGGGAGGAGAGATTAAACAGAAACTAAATTAGTTTTAATTTAATCTGTTCGCTCTCAGAAGAAATCAGTGAACTCCCATCCAAAGAAGTGCAGGCGAGGCAGAAGGAGAACAAAGGGGTTGCAGGGAGAATCAAATTTGAAGAAGAGGCAGGTCTGGACATGGGAAGCAGTTAATTTTAAGTACTGTTTAGTGAATGTGTCACTAATGAATGTGTCAGGGATAATGAGAGCTGAAACTTGTGGTAGAAGCAGCCAACCTGGCCACAGGAACTGTATGAGAGGTGCTGTTACACAGCACAGAAGCGGAAACAGAGATTCTCCTGTGAATGAGACAAACTAAGAGTTGGTTGGGTAATTTTTTTTTTCCTAATCTTGTTTAAATAAATCATTCCCATTAACTTTGAACCATGATTTACCCATCTGAGCACTCTGGATTAGCACAGCTCCATTCCACCCTCTCTGCTTGGTGCAGAAGTTCCCTCTTTGCTCACAAGCCTGATGTCCACATGGCTCTGACTGTGCAGGGGAAAATGGCAATGGAAAAGGAACCCTGAGAAGGCTCCAGGCAGTCTGGCAAGGGGATGGAGCAACTGTTTTGTCAGTGGACAAATGGTGGCAGTGTGGACAGGGTGACAAGATTCCTGCAGCAACTGTGTTGGCTTGACACAGCAGTGACGTGCAGAGGGCTGAGGGCAGACCTGCCTTGCAGGAACATTTAAGTAGCTGTTCCTATTGCCAAACTATTAGCCAGATCTTTAAAAAGTGGCCTAGCCCAGGAAAAGTGTTATGTAAAACCAAAATAAAAAAAAAAAAAATAGCTGACTTGCTACTGTTAAACCAGGGAGAGAGACACGGATCATGAAAAAATGTAGGGTATTCCCAGTTTAATGGGAACAGGATAATCAAGTAGATTCCCAGTGGCGGCTTTGCAGAGGGAGTACAAGACCTGAAAGCAAAACTGCTTTGGGTTTAAACTGAGCTCCCTAAAATGAGATTTGCTTTTTATGTGGCACTTTCTTCCTCCCCTTGCTCTCGGCTCTCAAAGCCAGCGAGGTGATGTGGGGATGATCTTCCAGAAGCCTTGAGAATGAGGAACGAGGTGGAGATGACAGATCCATCACCTGTGACACGCATGATTCAAAGGCATCCCAGCCCTTTTGCACAGCAGAGTCACTTTTTAAACATCCCAACAGCAAAACGGCCAAGCCATAGGGCACCCTCCTGAAAGCACATTCCTGACACTTGTATAAGAATGGTTTGGGAAAAGGGGGAATATTTAACAGCGGGAAGAAGATGTGACAGCACTGGTCCTCCCAGGCGGAGTTTCAGTAGAAATAACCCGGTGTGTGGTCAGCATCTTTATTTCAGGGCATGGCAGGACCCGAGCAGCGCCCGATCCGTGGGCAGGATCCTGAGGGACAGCGCAGGTCCGCCCTCACTCAGACCCCGCGGTTCGGGGGTTTGGGGAGAACAGAGGGGCGCAGCTTTGGGGCTGGAAGGGTCGCAAGGCTCAGCAGGGCAGGCCAGAGAAGTTCCTGGGACAGCCTGTGAGGAGCCCCCAGCGCGGCTCCCGCACTCGGGGCTCCCCGGCGGGCGGCTCCCGGGGGCACCCCACAAGGCGCGGGGGCTCGCAGCTCCCAACAGCCGAGGCCAGGGACTCCCCCAAGCCCGGGGAGCAGCGCCCTGAGGCGACCCCAGGGCGAGCACCAAGCGCTGCCCGAGGGAACGCGGCACAAACCCGACCGCCACCGCTCCCCTCATGGCGGAAACACTTGGTACCTCCCTTCTCCCCCCAGCCCCAGCAGTGGTTTCACCCCCCCGCCTCACACACGGCGAGGGGCGTGGCCTCACCCTCACGGCTTTCCCCGCCCTCTCATCCATATTCATGAGGAGAGACGGGCGGCCCCAATGCGGAGGGGCGGTGCACCCAAGCCCCGCCCCCGAGCGATGAATATTGATGAGGCGCGCCGTGGCGTCGGGGGCGGCGCGGGCGGTGATTGGCCGGGCGCGGCGGCGCGCGGTGACGCGCGCGGCGGCGGTGCGGGTCCCGATTGCTGCAGCCGCTTGTCAGTGTGACGAAGATTGGCACCCGAGGTAAGCGCTGTCACTCAAACCCCGCTCCAGCCCCGCCGTCCATCACGGCGCGCCCGCCGCCCGGGCACGGCCGCACCGGGGAAGCGGCACAGCGGCTGGGGAAGGGGCGAGCGGGGCGGCGGCGGCGGCGAGGGGAGAAAGCGGCACCCGCGCTCCGCCGCCGCTCGCACGGACCGGGGGGTTTAAGGGGCGGTGGCGGGCGCGGGGAGGGGAAGGAGGGGAAAAGCGGGGAGGGGTGTGGGGGGGGGAGCGAAGCGAGGAAGGTTCTGGAACGGCCGCCGTGCGCCCGTTGTGTCCCGGCGGGGGCGCGCGCGGGGAGGGGACGCGGGAGCGCGCGCGGGTCCGCGCGGAGGAGGAGGAGGAGGAAGAGGAGGAGGAAGGAGATGGGGGCGATGGGATGGGGGGGAAGGAGGGAAGAAGGGAGGGAGGGAAGGAGGGAGAGGAGGCGACGCGGTGCTTAAAGGGGCAGCGCCGTGCCGGCCGCTCCTCGGAGGCGGTGGGGGGGGGAAAACGGGGGGCGCTCCGGGGCCGCACCGCGGGCTCGCTCCGCCGCAGCTGCTGCTCCCCGCTCTCCTCCTCTGCGTGCTGCCATCCCGCTCCCCCGGCACACCTGCCCTGCCCGGGGGGAGGCGGAGATGTGCCCCGCTTTGGGGAATGTCCCCCCGCTTTGGGGGACGCTCCCCTCGCTTCGGGGGATGTCCCCCCGCCTGCCGTTCGCAGCGAGCGGAGCCCGCTCGGGTTTGTCCCTCGTTCCCGGCTCCTTTTCGCTGTGACCCCGCGCTGTCCCGGCTGGGCTGGGAGCTGACACCTTCCCCACAGCCAGGCCCAGGGTTGCCGGGTGTTTACGCGGCCGCAATTAGGAGCTGAGACTTGACACTGGCCAGAGGCCCTGCTGGGGATGTGTGTAAACAATAATAAATCAAGCGCTGGTTTTATCCCCGAGTGTTGCCTCGGTGAGCCGCGTGTCCCAGGTCTCATGGAGCAGCCCCTGGCTTTCCTTCGCTCCCACCACGCCGGAGTTGGTCAATTAACAATATAATAATATGAGTAGTTAACACGTTCCTGTGATAATGCTCTGTATAGCTTATTGCTGTTTTAAAAAATATAATTTATTAAATATTTTCTTAAATGATGATATGTAGTGGAATTTTATAGACAGGTCACAGTATTGGCTTATTTTTTTCATCTACTGCTGCTGAAGTTTTTAGTCCCTTTTGTAGTTTTGTCTGAGTAAATGGTGTGGTTTAGGGAGGGAGAATCCCAGAATTATTTGAGTTGGAGGGGACCTTAGAGCTCATCTTGTTCCAACCCCCTGCCATGAGCAGGGACACCTTCCAATATCCCAGGTTGCTCCAAGCCCCAATGTCCAACCTGGCTTTGGACACTTCTATGGATGGGGCAGTAAATAATTTATTCCTCATGCAAGACCCTGTATCTGGTATGAAACCCTTAAAAGTGAATGAATTGCTGGTTTGTTGGCTTTTTTTTTTTTCCCCGCTTGCACTTGAGTGCTGCCCAGGCAAGATTCATTTTTTTGTCCTTGCCCCTCTTTGGAATAGGTTGTGTGCATTCCATTAAGCAGATCCCAGGAGCAGGGAACATGGCATTATGTTCTGGATGTTGGAAAACACTTGGGCCAAAATCCTGTGGAGGAAAGCAAGAGGCTGTAGGTCACTCTCAAAGTATGCTAAATATCTCATTTAATTTTTTTTTTTTTACTAAAAAAATCCTTTTTTAGTTTTTACGAAAAAGCGCACGTTTAGTTAGCTCCTAATTTTATTCTCGAGCATGCTCTTGCACAAAATTTCATTAGTGTAGATTGTTTGATGAGGAGAATTGTAACAAGTGTGGCTTAGGCTGTCCGCCCATGCTGCTGTTCTCCCCACTGTGCACACAGTCACAGGTTGGTTGTTCCCTGTCCTCTGTGGGGTATAATCTGTTGTGGGCTGTGGGGTTGCATCCCTTTAGCTGTGGCTGTGTGTGTGGTTGGACTGAGATGGCTTCTGCAGCTGCATGGAGCCCTGGTCAGTCCCTGTTAGCTGCATGTGTGAATTTTATGGATTACACTCAACCAGGAAACAAGATGTTGTGATTGTATCAGAAATCCATCCTTACGTGGATTTCCAGACTCTGTCATTGCTACAGTATCAAGCAACAGCAAATGCATTTTGAGTGCGTTTTCTGTCAAGTAAAATCACAGATTTATCCTTTTTTGAGTCTGTGTGTCATCACATATAGAATCATTACATTCAAATTTTCAACAATTTCTGATGGAAAAAAATCCCCTAAACATTTCACGTAATCTATTCAATATAATTATTTTTCTCACTAATGTTCTATCTTCAGTTTATTTTATGAACCATAGAGTATATTTTTTTGACTGTCACCACTTGACATATTTTCTTGTCATCTCATAATGAAAGTATCCACAGGAAAACTTCAGTGTAGGTTTTACTGTGTTTTCTTTCCATAATCTCCAGTTCAGTGGTGAAAGGCAGAGCTCAGTGTGCTGCAGTCTCGGGGTGAAAAGGGAAAGTCACAGGGTAAAGTAGGGGCTGTTGTGCTGCACTGACATTTTGGAGGCTCAGATCATTTCTCATTCATCTCCCCAGTAGATTTTGGCCATGCATTTTTTTAAAGTGTGTTTTACTGGGCTGAATTTTTTTCTTGTTGCCATTTCCCATTTGCTGATAGAAAACCCAAGAATTCTTTGCATTTTAAGTACATTGTTGTTGTTGTTGTTAGGGTTGGTGGGGATTTTGTTTTGTATTTGGAAATTACCCTTGGGCATGTAAAAAGTCAAGCTGGTATTAAGTACTTACAGCTTTGATTTGTACTCTTAATACAATTTGTAATATTTGGGTTAAATAAAAATAATATTTTAAAGCTAAATCCTTGTAATTTTCCATGATAGGACTGAAAGGAGTTCAGGATGAATTAAATATAAATTTAATTTATTTTAAGTGCTTTAGTCTTATAAAATGCTAAGTCTTCTGGAAGCTGTAATTTCTTCTTCAGAATTTTTCAACTGTATTTTTTCCAAGCTTTCCAACTGTATTTTTCTGTACTGTAAATGCAGTGCTCGAATAAATCTCTAATAATTCTGATTGCTACCACAGCAAGTTTGGGAGTGTTGAGGAGCAATTCCATTTCCTGGAAAAGAGGAACTCTGGTGAAATGAAACCCTGTGTTAGTGGCCGAGGGTGACTGATCACAGAGCCACCACTGTGGCAGTGGAACTGCCTGTTCTAATGGCCATGTTAATGTCCTGAGAGGAGCAGCCCAAATTGTATTTCAGAATATTATGTTGTGGTCTGGCAGCCAAATGTTGCCTCTGCAAAACTGGCACATATGTGAAAGCTTACAGTAAAGCAGATTAATATTTTTATTTTGGTCTAAGTAAGACCAAATGCAATTTTTTTTGTGTGTGAAATTAAAAATGTTGCAAATGTTACTTCTCTTGCAGCAGCAGCTGGTTACTTCACTTCTCACTTGTTCAAAGAGTCTGTAGGTTTAAAAATGAGAAGTCTCAGAGGGGTTTATTTTGCTACAGCTCAGTGCTGCACAAAATGTAAAACAACTTACTGCTCTTCTAAACAAGAGGATTCCAAGAGCAAGGAGAAAAAGCTGCTGATGGAGTTCTTTCATTTGCTTACTTGATGCCAGATGTTGCCAAAATCTTTTACCCAGACCATTTTAGATGTCCCCAAGAGAATTGAACAGTGAAATATTCACACTTGTGGCAGCTTCTTCACTTTGTTCACTGTGAGGTGGTTTCATGCCACAACTGTGGAACATGGGATTCATCAGGTAGATCGGGGTGGGGTGGAAAAGAAAATGGTGGCACTATGGATCTGGAAATGCCAGTTTTGTTGTTCTGGAGCTGTGGCACATTTTTATCAAGCTGCTGAGGGGCAGCAAGGTGGTTCCCCTGCCAGCAGTGAGGGGATCCCACATCCTGTATGGCACTGGGAGGCAAATGTTGGTGCTAGAAATGGAAATAAAACTCAGATCTTGTTCTGGCATGGTTGGTTCTCATCCTGCACAGGAACACTTTGTTTGGGGTTTGATGTGGCAGCTGCTCCAGGCCGTGGTGTTCTCATTTTTTAGTACCAAGGTGTACAAAAGAGGTATTTGCTGTTAAAGCTGAGGGCTGTTTAAGTACACAGAGAGTCAGAAGGTGATTTTTGAAAATGGGAGCTGAGTGTGATGATCACAGACTGTCCCTCACCCTGCTGTGCCCAGGGATCTGCAGCTCTCTTCTGCAGCTGATGGAAAATTCAAGCAAAAGGTAGAATATGGCAGCTTACTTCTGGTATACTGAAAGAGGCATCTATTTCTTTGAAACCTCCAAATTCCAATTTTTATTTTATTGGTGAGGTTTTGAAATTGCCTGTGCTTTTTCTTGATGGCAGAAGAAGCTAGGAAGTGTGGCTGTACTTCACATCCTGCTTGGCTTTTTATGAGTTACACAGCAAACAAAGCAAAGGAAAAAGGATATTATCATACTTGCTGAAAAATAAAGTCCAAGCCTTTTATATTCCAAGGAAACAGAGGCAATTAGAGAACAGAAATTGGATCTTTATATGTTTTTGATACACCTAGAGAACAGGGGAATGAAAATATGTGTGCTGTGTTGTATGATTTTGTAACTAAAGAACTTCTGGGTCAGTCTGTGATCACTTAATTTATGTTTTCTAGCCCATTTTTATGTGGTCTAGGCTATAATAGTAGCAATACCACAAGGAAGATTACCTGGTTCTCTTTCTTATTATTTTGAGGTGTTAATTTCAGTAGCTTAATTCTTAGTCCTACTGAAATTTGCCATGATGAATATGTTTGAGCAGGGTTATTCTGCCAACTTAAAAATGACTCAGCATCTTGAGAATGACTCTAAGTAAATATGTTCATTTATAAAAAAGGCAGGATTCTTCTTATTTAGGAGCATATCAGCAGCTGAGTTGTGGATTTTAGTGTTGCAGAGGGGAAAGGATCATAAA